CGGTATGTCCGAAAATCAATAGTCGAGATCAAGGCAATCCAACGGCTCCTRGGAAAACTGGTTGCATGACCCCCGAGCTTGAAATCGGTTTTGCGCTTTTTTTTCATCYGTGGAGTTTGTAGATCGCGTGACGTCCGCGCATGAACCAGACGCCACTTGGGTTATTCCTGGTCGAGCCGGATATCCGAACAGGTCCAGCCAACGATCCGTCCGACAAGCTGCCCRGACCTCGGGCCAAATCCCCTTGTCTCGTCATGAACTCTCCACACCGGGCCGGGACCCCTGGCTTGGGGAGTGGGGGACAATTGATGAAGGGTGATTTGGCCCGACCTAGTAAAGAGGGGACACGTGGACACGACCTGATCAAGAGATGACATCTTAGCTTATCATAACCAGCCCACAGCAAATCAAGCTCGGGTACCCAACCACCCCGAGCTAAAGTCACCTCGGGACAAGGCCACCTCGAGACGAGATCGCCTCAGTACCAGATTGCAACAAGAACACCTCGATGCCAAGGCACTTCGGCACTCAACCTAGTTYGGGACTTAAAGACATCAGTTCGGAGATACCGACATGCCACTACATGGTGATCCCGAAAACCCCTCCAACGGATCCTGGGCCTCACGGGATCATGCCACGTAACAGATAGCATTATCTCCCTGACTGATTCGAGCGGAAGTGATGAACCTTATCGGTTGGCAGCGTTATCTTCCAACTTACGCAGAAATGGATCCTATCATGACGATAATCCCGGAACCGATCCGTAAAACCCACGAGGACTCAATTATATAAAGGTTCCACCCCCGGTGGTTCAAGGTACGCATGATTTATATGCTCTCTAGCTCTCTACATTCTTAAGCTATTTTTAGCTCGCAACAAGTATACTGACTTAAGCATTGGAGCGACTTCGCTAGGCTAGCAACCCTGGGTTCTCTGATCCTCTTGCAGATCAACTGTCCGCCATCCGCCTGGAAGCCAGATCACCTCCAACAGGGAGCAGCTAGATCGCGCAGCAGTAGTATGGATCTGCAAATATGCTGAATACAAATTCTAATGTGTTTTGGTTTCATATTTGACTGTCTTATTTATTTGAGAGAGACAATAGGAAATAAAAATTGAAGCAGTCCCCACTTAAAATATAGGGAGATTTGTTCTTCGCCACAGTGGTAACCAATCATAACTTAACACAACAGTTTTCCATACACATGGGTCGCACTCCCATGGGTCTCCACATTATACTATACGGCATATTTAAAGTTTCGATACAATACGTCCCCACATTGATCAAGATACCCAATATGCGACGTATTGTATTGTATCTTTGAAAATAGATATAGGATACGCATGGAAATCGGGCGTCTCGTCTATTTTCATGCGTATCAAACCCATATCARATTGTATTGGGGCATATCAAGGGTGCACTAGGGCATATAAGGGGCGTATCGATGAAAAAAGATACGACCAAAAACTAAAAAAGGGGGTTAATCAAACTTCTTTTCCCTGAAATAAGCCTTCTTTCACACCAAAATGACTCTAAAACTCCAAATCTCATTCCTAGAGTGCTRGATTTGCAAAAAATTGCAAGAAACAAGTGTGAATCGTTAATTTTTTTTGAAGATTTTTCAAATTTTGAAAAAAAATGGCAAAAATAGGTAAGTTTTTTAAAATTTTTATAATACCTTGTGATTTATTTTTTTCTCAAGTGTCTAAATTTATGTTGATCTACATTTATTACATTCAAAATCACAATTTTTTTTTTGTGTTATCAGTAAACTTATGGAAATTTCATGAAGATATTTGGGAAAAATATAAAGTAACAAAAAAGAAATTTGAAAATATAATTTTTTCTTTTCCTATAAAGACTAAATATATTTTAGATCTATGGATTTATCTATCATATCCATAGAGCAATTGAAATTTCTTCTTTACTTTTTTTTTATTTTTTATATTTTTAGGATTAAAAAATAAATAATAATTAATTATAATTTATTATTTGATCACAATAACTGAATATATTATAATTCTATGGATGATCTATTATATCCACATACCAATTGAAATTTTTTCTTTAATAAWTATTTTTTATTTATATTTTTAGAATTAAAAAATAAATAAATAATTAATTATATTTTATCATTTGATAACAATGATTGAATATATTATAATTCTATGGATGATATATCATATCCACAAAGCAATTGATATTTCTTCTTTAATAACCATTTTTTAATATATTATACAATATTTATTTTTTTATAATTTTTGGAAATAAATAATTATTAATTATATTTTCACTTAGAAGTTGTGTCAATGCATGTTTTATGGTTGGATAGGAGAGTTGAGATTTTCTCATCCCATAAAACATTAAAACTTAAGAATTATAATTTATAAGTTATAATTAAGCATAGGATTTTTACTGAAATTATAATTAACTACAATATATTTCTTCATAAAACTATTAAAATATATTAATTTAATGTATATATACCTCATCGAGGTCTTATATTTAGTGTTATTAATGTACTTTATGATTTATTAAAGTATTTATACTATAGTATTTCCAAGCGTATCTATATGTATCTTAGTTTTTCTCCAATACGCATGCATATCCAAGGCGTATCCCGATACATCTATTAAAATTCTTTCYGATATATTTGGCACTTCTAATACTTAGAACTTTGCTCACACCCATATCCTAGGTGGGTAATTACCACCTAGAGGGAAAGTTGCCAATACTTGCATGAAACAAAATTGCTCCTTCTACTAATGGTTTTTTTATGGCTAAAATGATCATCATCTTATTTACCTAAGAAATAAAAGAAATGAGTAAATGCACTTATCCAAGTAAATGTTTTTGAAAAATACTTATCCAGATAAGTGTATTTATCTAGGTGAGCGGTTTTAGGTTTTTTTTTTGGGGAAAAATACAAAAAAAAACCTCCCCTGAAGTTTCTGACAATCATAAAAACCTCCCCTTTAATTTCATTTTAATAAAAACCTCCCCTAAATTTTTAAAAAATTCAACAAAAAACTCTCTTTTGTCATTGATTAAACGGAAAACATATAAAATTACAAAACTATCCCTAATTAATTGTCAGGGATAGTTTGTCCATGATACACTTCTAAACCCATAAAGAAAAAAAGAAGAACAAGAGCCAATAAATATCAACAACCATAGTCCTTTAAACAAGGAAAAAGGTAGGAAATTAAAGAAAACTGATGCCATATATGCCAGTACTAAACTGATGGAATCGAACATCATCCAATCTTTGTCTTCAAAAGAGAAATTGTAATCAATAAGCCAAAGCTTGAAGTAGATGGTGATCCCCATAAACAGAAGCAACACCAAGCCAATAAAGATGGGGCCTTTCACATACACAGCAATTGGTTATTTGTCTGCTTGTCTATCTTTTGTCTCTCGTTTGCTCGCTCGCTCGTAAACTCCGAAAGAATCACATGGGAGTCCATCTTAGGCTTCACCCAGCCCCAAGTGAATGGGAAACTACAAATTACAGACTAGTGGTGCAATTAAAGAGACAAAGAGAGAGGAGCAGGAGCTTTCATTCAGGAAGTGAATTTGAAAATGGCATGTAAACTGTAAAGAATTTTGGCCCAGTCGATACTCAATACGTGTGTTTAAAAGAGCACCTTTGTTATCCTTGTACCAGCGGCCGACCGATGGAGGAAGATAGAGAGAGCCTGGGAGAGAGAAAGAGATGATCGAACTCATTCACATCTGCCATAACCATAGAAGCAGCGATTCATTGACATGATCCTGTTTGCTTTATATTGAAACACCTAGCGATCTGTTTTTTCTTWATCATTTGCGTGTCTGTTTTAAAGTTTAGCAATTCTTGGTATTCCGAGCAATGGCGCCGCTGTAAGTGTGTAGTGGTGTTATTCTCTTTTGCTCTGAAAAAGAACGGAAACCAATTGCGGAAGTGTCATCGCTCAAATGAGGGCAATTTGGGATTTTAAAAATTTTTAAATGACGCCGTGCAGATTAGTTAGGGGTAATTTCATAATTTTATTACGTTTTTGGTCTGGCTAAATGACGGAAGGGAGGTTTTTGTTTAATTTTTTAAAAAATTAGGAGAGGTTTTTATGATAGTCAGAAACTTCAGGGGAGATTTTTGTATTTTACCTTTTTGTTTTTTTTTAATGAAATTTGTCTTTACTCGCTCATCCCGTGAATCGAACATATAAATAAACAGTTGAATCGTCCAAGTAAAGACAAATAGAATTCTTGCATCCTCAACTTGAAAACGTCAGATAGGAATCCATCCTTTAATTGATAACTAAAATTATACGTCATTCGTATAAGCTTGATCGTGCAAGCAAAGCCAAGCCCAGGCCAATTCAACTCAGAATTTGAATCCAGAAACCAATTCAAAAGCTCTTAAAATTAAGCATTAAAAGGAATGTTTATTCACAGACATTCAAAAGCTTTGAACTCAGTACTCCATTATCATTCAGAACTGGATAGTTAAGCTCGAACAGGCCATAAGCACATCTACATATATATGAATAGAGAAAGGAATTCATGCATATATAGCCACCATGAAGTGAGAGAATTAGTTCTCAGGTTTAGAGAAGAAGTGGTTTATGGTAGGCATAATCTCAGGCGGGCGTGTGCGGAGAAACTTGCGGAGACCATGCTCGGCGTATTTCTCTCCTTCCTCCTGGTTTTCGAGCACTGCCATTTTCCGGCGATCCTTGTTGATTCTGCAAGTGCAGTCAGTCAATCCATATCAGAGCTTTATTATTTTTTTGCACCTTTAACGTAACGTTTTCTATGCAGACGTAGATGGGAGATTTCAGCCTTGATCCTCGGATGGAAGGCTTTTGGGGTCTTGGATCTGGTCCTATTTTGTGTTTGGCATGACGTGGCAAGTTTCAGCCCAATAGACATCCGCCACCTGGCAACAATCTATCTAGGAGTGAGAAAAATTACCTCACGTCAGGGTTCAGGAAGACGTTCCTTGTGAGCTGAAACACACACATACTCGTCACAAACGTCATGGCCGCTACCAGCGGATAGACCTGTTAACATTTCATTAACACCAATTCAAAAGAAGAAGAAGAAGAGATGGGTTTTGTAATGAAATGAAAATACGAACATCTGGTTTGATCCAACTCCAACGTGGCATTTTGAGAGAAGAGGGTTCGTGGGTTTTGGGCTTCTCCACCAAGTGTTGTGAGCTGAGAATCTCCAACTTTGATTGAGAAGTGGGGCTTATCTGAGGACTTTATATAGAGAAGATTGGTATGTTAATTGCGTGAATGTGGGCCTTGAGGTGGGTTAACATATCGGCCGGGGCACTGATTCGGTGGGCTCAGTTGACCGTTGACTTATCTGAAACCAGGAGCACAGCAACCAGTTTTAGCTTTTAATCCTTTTATTTTATATTTTTATTTCTTTATTTAAATTTCATTGTTAATGTATAAACTAATAAATCAGTCACCCCAACGCAAAGGCTTCTCAACTCAATCTATACATCTCTTACGACATATAATTAATATTTAATTATAGATGAGTATTTCCTAGTGAAGTTTTTAGCATTCAAGTTGGTAATAACTTGTCAAAAATTATTTTTATATCTCCAGATATTACAATATATATGCATGAATGATGTATGGAGACAATTTTTGTTATCTTTTATATAAAATGTTGAATTTAAAATCTATTTCTAAAAATTAAATCAATTCCTATATATGTAAGTTTGGCAGATGGCTTCAAAAGCAAAAGCCAGTTTAAGGGTTTCTTTCTATACTTGTATTTCCATCTCCGGCTGAAGTTTGAATGACGTGAAGATTGCTTTTCTTTGAACGATGAAGGGAGACGCATTATAGGACAAATTAGACCTAGATACATATGAAAGTTTTGGGCTAAGATACAATGCCCATACAAGAAGCCATATAATTAACTATGACTAATATAAAAAATGTTCCCCATGACATATTTACAAACTTGATGGTTCAATTCGCAGTGTTGTTTGCTCATGATTCATCCATGTTATGAGACATTTTATGCAGGAAAAATGGCCTCCTAATTGGGCCATTTATGTAGGCTTCAGTTTGGAAGGAGTACAAATACTTGCAAACTAATACAAAATACATGATTTTGCACTCTACATATTTGTAGAGTGCAAATAAGGCCCTATCCCTATATATGGGAGTAGGGCTCTTAAATCCTATATGCATTGATGTAGTCTGCGTTTGGGAGTGCTTTCCTGATTTTTCTTATACATTTTATGTTGAAGAAGCCAAAAGCCTGTCAAAAAAATCATTTGATAAAAAAGTTTGAAACGGACTTTTTTTAGGCTTTAGCAGCAAAAAGTATTTGTTTTGAACCAAAAAAAGAAAAAAAAAAAGGGTGACCACCCAAACAACGAGAAAGTATTTGTTTAAAAGCCCATTTACGCCAAAAAGTATTCCCAAACATGCCCTAATCAGTTCCATCCAGATTCTCAATGTCTTTAAGGATCCTAGTTGGATGCAATCAGATTTAGTATGTGTTTGGTATAACTTCTGTTTATTAAATAAATGTTTGTACTTGACTTGTCTTCAAAACCGAGAAAAGTACTTGATAAACCGAGTATTGACAACTAGGTGCCACTAGGCGCTACATTAGCGGAACAGTGCATAAACGCTAAACTGTTGGGAGAAGTGTTAAAATGAAGCTTTTCACAACGGTTGGTGTGCAAATAAATCAAAACCCACTTTTATAAATATCAATGCATACGGATGAACATGATGGGAAAAATGCTGATTTATTTGGCAATGACACGACAATGCTTTGAAAAATGCATATCACAAAACACACGCTTAATTGATTGTCCATATCCATTTCGCTTGCACATTTAGGTCAGATTAGGTATTGCTTCAAAATGTGAATATATTGAAGTCGACTTCAGGCCCAGTCCAAAGACTAACTACATACTTGGGAGGACTGAAGCATAGCAGCTTCTGGTTTTCTGAGGTGGGCTGCGCGCAAAGAGCCTATAAGCTATGTATGGTGAAAAAAATCTGTAGAGTCCAAATTAACTGTCAGTCAATCATTTGAAGGGCTGGCTGCTTCATTGCTTTGAATAGCTTATGCAGAATGCTCCAAAGAAGCTGAACAAGATTAGCTGAATCTTCAGTTCAGTCCTCCCACATGGGCCCTAAGTATCTATTTGATCAGAACCAAGCTGAATCCTTTTAGATGAACCAAAGTCCTAACCAAGAGAAAATATAGGACTGACCAAGTATTTCCTGCCTTGTGTGTGTTAACATCTAATAAGATTTTGGAAGCTGGGATTTAGATTAACCCCACCTTTACTATATATTGCTGATACTTGCTTTGGCTTCACATCTAGACCATCATGCAAATGCACATGACACTARGAAAGGTCACTCAAATTCAGCGTAAACGTAACAGAGATGCATGAATAAATGAGGTTCCACCAATGCTCATTGAACCCAAGCTTTTCTAACATACCCATTAGGAAACGCCACTCAAACCCATCGTATGCTTTGTTCAAATCGAGCTTCATGACCATGAAAAAGTGTCCACCATTCTTTGTAAGGATAAAATTTAGGCTTCGTGAGACAGAAATGTTATCCCATATCATCCCGATTCCCAAGTTCAAAAAATCGTTATGTATCTACCATATCGGCCGATGTATAGATTGGGTCAGGGCCTGATTCAGAGGATAGTCAGGACTTAAACTGGCCCCTCTGAATCAAAATAAAAAAAGTAAAAGTTAAAAGAAAGAACCAATACCAGCCGATACGCCTCTCGATACTTTGAACCTTGTCCAATTCTTTACAAATGCCGACTAAAGATCGAAATAGTTGGATGACAAGGACCCACTTCAGTTTCTGGTCTGGGGCCTTTGATTTTGCTGCGTATGATGTTTTGTACCCTCCTTAAGGTCTTTTTGCCTTCTTGAATAAAGTTTATTTTATGACAAAAAAAAACCTACTAGTAGGAAAAAGGGGACAAGATGGAGTCGTTTTAGGCCCCAAAACATACCCTGACAAATAAAAAAAGTAAATAAAAAAGTCTAAACACGACTGATGATAGAATGGTTATCCTCACCATTACCCAACCCCAGTACCCCACCCTGACCTTAATATAGTAACTTGAAAGAGTATTAAGGTGACCCGCTTAGTTAGAAAAAGGGACGTAGAAAGGCAGAAATCTTCCTTTGTGTTCAACAAGAAACTTGCCCATTCTAATTTCTATCAAATATCTCAACATTGCCAAAAGGCAAAAGCAAACAAGCAAAATAAATATCCCTACTCAACAAAATCTGTAAATGTTCCAACCAAGCTTCAACTACAATGAATGAAGATTTAGGTACACAAAATTAGCCCTACAATGCCTCTTTTAAACAGAATCCAGATGAATAGATACCAAAACCAATAACCACGATAAGAATAACTCCTTCAACGAATCATCACACCTTGCATTGCTTGTGCGCTCTCCTCAGTTAGCTTGTTAGCTTGAATGGTGTTTATAACATTTGCAATGTTACCCTGACAAAAAACATTGTGGCAGAGTTTCAGCAAACACGATTTTGATCCAAAGAGACATCAATGTTCAGTGTTTCACGTAATTCAATCCATCAACCATAGTTAGGTTGGTATCAGGCGAAAGCTCTCTAACACAACAATTATTATTAAACTTGAGACAGACATTCATGGATGGTTGAACCCCAAGTAGTCAGCATATCTATTTGTTCGCATGGCAATTCAAGGATTATGATTTAAAACCTTTATAGTTTATAGTAGTTTTCATTTGGCTCCCCCAAGTGAAATTATGCAGATTCATGGATAAATGATTGTAGAGAACAAAGTACTTTACCCTCCATGTTGCTAGTTTTGATCTAAGGGATTGCCACTGGTGCAACCCAAAGACACGCTCCGTGCAGCGGCTACACAACAAGCATCACAAAAACATCCAAAAATAAATTAAGATGGTGAAGCAATGAAATGAAAATTCCATTCCTAGCACTAAATCTTCAACATAAAAATGGCAAAACTGTAGAACTCACCTTACAATTACAACTTGATTCATCTGGTCCATCTTACAGTCAAGTAGCTTTGCAGTAATTGCCTTGACTATCCACAGTTCTATCTCATCATCTGTGACCTGTGGAGTAAAATTCACCCCAATATAACAAAGTGACAAAAAAGAAAAAAACTTAAAGATGCAGGGGAGTAAAATAAATAGCAAACCGACTCGAAGTGTCTCCTTGATGAGAGCATATGGAATCTCGCCAGAATCATTAGAGCCAAGATCAGCCAATGACATCAATCTCATCTTTGTTATACAGTCTTCATGAACAAGACCTATACAACCATACAAGAGAGAATGTTCAAAATATAGAGGATTGGGTGATTTATGCCCCTCCCAAAAACAAAATTAGATAAACAATCACCAACAAAATAAAAATAAAAATCAGTTAAATGAAAAATTTACCATAGCTTTTAAGTAAAGTGGAATTTGCTGCATGGAAATCCAAGTATGCATCCAGCCGTTGTGTTAGAAAGATCTTCAGAAGTTGATACACCAGTGCATATTTGCCATCTTTCTCCAACTGTCCTATGGCAGGCATATCTAGCAAATCACACTGCAATAAACAAGGTGGAAAGCTAAATTAATTTGAATATCAAAAACCAAAAACATAACCTGATAAAGTGTAAAAGTTTGGTTTCAATTCTGAATGACCACATTTTTTTTTATCAGCACCAAGAAAGCAATTTATTAAATTAAAGGGAAAAAAGCACATACATCTTTTTGGATAGCCTCAGCAGCTACCTCAATAATTTACTAAAAACTATCAAAAACAGAAACACTATGAACTTTAATTCTGAATAATCACTTTCTACTAAAATGCTGGATGTTAGGTTCATACCAGTCTCTACCCCAAAAAGATCGTAAATAGCGATGACCAACAAATAATCTTTTTACTGATGAATGGTTGCAAAAACTCAAACCACACCTTATGATACTCAGATACCTGTCAAGGACGCCATAACTATGGTGTTGGATACTTCAATTTTAGCATAAATTCCATATCCAATACCATGTCCAGCCATGGCCTTGCCGTATAGGTAACATAGATCATTAGATCATGACAAATCTATCGGTCAAGTAGATCACATTCATCCCCATAAGCACTGATGAATTTTTTTCAGGCATTCTGGAGTTGTCATGCACATTTTTATAGGCAGTAGGTAATATGCCACTCAAGAAACACGTTTTTTTTTTTAATTTTAAATTTTGTTGATCAATATCACTCAATAAAATCATTCAATTTTTCAGTTAAACCAATAAGATACCTGAAACATATCAGGTGCCTTCACAAACTCCACAATAGCACGCACAGCTTCTTCCTTAGCTTCACTCAATGTATATGCATCCTCACTCGAAAAAGTTGCTAAGTACTTGGTCAGGAAATGGAATGAATCTTTTGCAGAGCTGAAATTAAAGATAAAATTCAAACAGAAAACACAGATGTTGATAAGAAACAAAGTCTGCAAACAGAAGTTACATTTTTTTGATCCATGCAAACAGAAATTACATTTTGTACTTACAGTCTTACAGTTACCTTTTATTTTCCTTTAAGATATTGGAGATGGTGAGAAAGAGTTGTCTTTGATCCAAGGTCCCGATGTTCCACTCTTTCAAAAAGTTATCAATCTTCTTGAAAGAAGGGATAATATGCTCAGTAACTTTGCCATTGACGGCTAAGGTAAGGGCAACCATGTAAACATAGAATCTGCTGTATGGATTCTCCAAGAGGTTGTACAGAGTGAACAATCTGAATCAAGAGAGCAAACTCATAAGAAATTGCCAAGAAGAAATAAATAAACAAATCCAAAACCCAAAAGACTACTATTGATTAGTAGTACATCTTTAAGCGTAATGCTGGCTTATCATTTGCTTGTTGGGAAACTTTTGCAGATATAAGCTTTGCCATCTCTAGTGCTTCATCTGGACTTTCGGTTTTCGTCACAAGGTTGCAAATAATAGCAAAACTACACTCAAGATCTGCAACCAGAAAACACAACAATTTAGGATCTACCTGTTAACCAATTCAGAAAGGATTAAAATTCCCTAGGAAAGTGCAATTCTAGAGTCATAAAAAGGATCCACAAGATGTGGAGAAAACAATATACTATCGTTCTGAACAAAAATCAAGATGAAGATCTTTTCCTGCCTTTTACCCACTTTACAGAAATAACTGCTTGTTCATCATTTTCCTTTGGCCTTTTAGTTTGGTAAATATAAGAAACAATTCAAGAGAGACTTTCAACTGAAGAGAACAACTTTACAGGGATTTGATCATAATGCCCCTTCTTAGCTTCAGTCCATATGACTTGCAGTTTTTATGTACTATTAAACCTCTACACCATAGCAAAACATTGTGATATAGTATAAATAAAATGACTTATGTTTGACTGACAAGAGCTTTTCCAGTACCAGGTAATTGCCATCTTACACATCTGTAATGCATTTATCAATATATAGGAGCACTTTTCGACCCCTTTAAACCTCCGCCCCCCCCGAAAAAAAAAACGGAAAAGAAAACAAAAGAAAGAGAAAAGAAGAAAATGCAGTAAAACTAAAATAAGTTTACCTTTCTCTGACACTCTTGAAAATATCAAGTCAGCAGAAGTTAGCATAAGAGATGCCAAATCCAGCCATCTACCCATTACTATGAATTCTTGTGCCTCCATGCATAATCTAGCAACTTGTGGCTCTGCAACCTAGCAAAACAGAAGAAACCAGATGATTCAGAAGTAGAAATATTGAATCCTGTAATTCAAGACCAGGTAAAGTCAGGTCCACAAACTCGTTACTTTTACAGAGATGCCAAAGCACTTAGCAACTGAGGATCATGATAATAGTCTCTAGGTTCAAAATATAGATCTACAGTCAAGTTTTTGACATAGATAAAAATAGCAACTTTACGTTTGAAGTTCCATCAAGGCTTCTGATGGTCCAAGAATGTCCACACATAGAGATGCAAACAAGTTTTTATCTTATACAAAATTTATCGAGAAAAAGTATTTATATCTTATACTTATGATTATAACTAAATACTAATGCCATGAAGATCCGAGAGTACTGAATTCTATCCTCCCTTAATACTATTACTGGGTTCTATCTTTATTTATTTGATCAGCCATGGTTCTATCTTTATGCAATAAAATTTTTACTAACGGCAATAGTCACCACCATCTACATTATATATGAAGCACAATTACTGAAAGAAACTGGAAGCTTATTGCATTTTTTTTATATTTGAAATACGTACAACAATCATAAAAATGTGTTGCAAGAACCAGAAGTTTTAATTGCAAAGTTCATAAAAGGAATAGTCAGAACAAGCAATTTCTCACTATTTTTTTTCTTCTGAACTTGGATGTATAATATGAAACTGGAACTAAGAATAGAAAAGGAGAAACAAGCAGAATTTCAATACACGAAAAAGAAATACAAATCGAAGAAAAACTACTCGCGTAACACAATTTCTAAGGAAAAAAAAAGCACTCTTGTTCCCTAAATTCCAATCGTTTCACTGAACAATAGATATGAGAAAAAACAACATATATTAGTAGAAGCATGCAAAAAATGTGAAATTTTAAACGAAAACTTAGGGAACATTCTTCTTTTCGAGGAGAAATTTCAGTACCTCTGGTCCTGCATCGGCCCAGGCGAGCTCCGACGTGAATCGGACTACAGAAAGCGAAGGATCTTCCTCCGAGGTTACCACAATGGTCGTCATTGAATCCTCGAAAGAGACCCACGAAAACCTTATTTCCTGAACTGCAGCTGCAGAGAACGAATAAGAACACTGAACACAAACCCTAACCTTTACTTGAGGAAGAGACCGAGAAAAAGAAAGAGTTGGTCGACTCTACAAGGTGTTATAGACCGTAGCAACTGTGTACAAGAAAAGCGCTAATAATTTGTTGATGTATGTCCCATAGTTATAGATGAATGTGTGGGACCAATGTCAAAACCTATTAACCATCGGATTAGGATAGTTTCGATCTAAGAATGAGAAATGTCCAATCTAACGGTCAGGATCATTATATTATTCCAATTCCTTATGGCCAAGAAAGTATTAAATGATTTCCTTCTCTCTGCTCGTTAGGGTTTTATCACTTCACCTTTCGTGGCAAAAGCGGTAAACCCCTTTCCCCGCGTCGCCGAATTTGGACCCAGAAGCGAAAATGGTGATTTCCTGGCTCTCTCAAATTTTCTCTCCTTCTGGTACGATATTCAATTGATTTGAGCTTGATTAATCTTCGTTTTTTTGGATATGTAGCCGTCGCACAAGACCTTCAGAATCAAGAAGAAGCTGGCGAAGAAGATGAGGCAGAACAGGCCCATCCCTCATTGGATCCGTATGAGGACAGACAATACTATTCGGTTTGTTCCCGATATCTATCTCTATCTTGTTTCTATGTGAATCTCAATTTGGTTTTGATCTCCGGTTGCGTCTTAATCGATCTCCTCCTTCGCATTTTTTCAGGTACAATGCAAAACGCAGGCACTGGCGCCGTACCAAGCTAGGGTTCTAAGGTGGTTGTGTTTTTCCATGTTTCTGCTTTTCATATCCATTTTGTTGAGTCAGAATTTGTAAGACGATGGAACTAGCTGGATTTGTTTCTTAGTATTTTGTAGTCTGTACCCTAATCTGTTGGATTTAGGGTTTATTTTCTTCTACATTTTTGAACGAATTTGTCTTTGGCATATTATTTTCTTATATTTATCAATCTAATTCAAGGATAAATTTTGTGGTACTATTTTGGGATCCCCTGCTTTGTTGTTTTGCTTCCAATGCAATATTGTGTATTTTCTGCCATGGTTTGTACTCTCAATCAACAATCAATTATGTTCTCCAACTAAATTAGTCTTGCTCTTCTTTTTATTCCATTAAGATTTTTGTAAACAAATATTAATTACAGTAACGTTCCTGGTTTTGCTCTATATTACCCTTCTTATGATTATTAATTCCGGTCCTCTTTCATCATTCCCGTTCTGTTCAGTGCCAAATCCATTGTTATATAGGCGCTTAAATCATATCTTATTACTTCCACCCAAGTTCTTTTCCGTCTGGTCTTAGCTATTCTAGCCCCTTAAACTTGTAACAAAGCACTTTTTCTAACTGCGTTTGCATAGACGTTAGAATGTTTCAACAGTAAAAAATATACACTTGCAAATTTGGATATTCTCCTATTCTATTACTTTATAGTAAGGAACTTTGCTATATACATGGAAAATCTATTTTGAACTTCGTAACAAGGTTGAGATTTAGCACAGGTTTACCTTGTTTGCTAGAACCTACCCCTCATTGAAATCCCTTTTTAATCTGGATTCTGGAAATCGTTAGTATCATTTCTTCAGCTATTTTACCAATTCTTTACTGACCTGTCTCCGTAAGTCTGATCATGGTCAATTCTATTGGTCAATGGCTGTAATGTTCATAAACCATTAGGCTATTTAAAAACAGTTTTATTATGTTGTTTTCATGCTTGCCCACGAGTTGGTTGTGCTATTGGTTTGGACTAGTGTTTGGAAAACCTAACTGGAAACAGAACTGCTTTTCCCACTGGGTAGTGGGTCAGTGGTTTAATTGTAGGGATAAGTGGACTGCAATCCACCTCAGAAATCTGAATTGCAGCCCCCTCCTAGTCTACAAGTAGCCCCCCTATAAGCCGCATCCTGCCTGTGAATTTGGCATCAATCCATGGGCAGGATTCAGTCCACCCCTAGAAATCCTATCACCACCCTAGGGGTGGACTGAACTATAAAAACCCCTTAATTGTATGAGTTGAACTGGTCAAAAGGCATATATCAGTTGTGCCTTGTCTCTCAGATTATCAGTTCAACCATACACTTTTATTAAATTTTCCTCTTTTTGTTCTTTTGGTGGAATMTTGTGTGTTTTACTTCTTTGTGTAATGGTTTATTTTATTGCTGTTTGTAAACAGCCAAAATTTAAACAAAAAGGATATGTTGTTGCACTCTTACACACACACACAGCCATCCCCCGGCCCCAACCCATGTGAACAGAGTAAGCGTATTCTCATCATTCTGAAGTCTGCATCTACTCCCAAGCAATGTGAGACAATAGGCCTTCACACGCTTCAAAATGCTAGAAGAATACCAAATTTAATAAAAGTCAAAACCAATAAAGACAAAATTAATACAGAGAGGGAGTTCAAAATTCTTGTATTTTAGATAACCTTCCCTCCAAAATACACGAGAATCCAACAGGGCTCTCCGCTCCACATATGTATTTGTAATTTGTTTGAGCTAAATGAATCGTTGCTTCTTGGGTGTATGTTTAATGATTGTTTTGCTTCCACTTCCAATGATCAATCAAGAAAATGGGAACTCTCACTCTCAAGTCTCAAGTCCCTCCACAGAATCTGGTAGGTCTCCTAATGAGTCATTTTCCTATTTGATTTGACATAAACAACATTCATAAATAATTATTTTCCTGTTGCAAATATCTGGTGCTAGTTCCTTCTGTTTGTGGTTCTAGGCTTATTGAAGTCTTATCTTTTATACCAAAAAGGAAAGACCTACCAAGGAGGGCACACATTAAGATGATGACAGCAAGAGCAGAAAGGTTTGGCTAGCAGGTGTTCCACAAATGACACCATGTCTAGAATGTTATAAACAAGAACGATAGAATATGTTTTAGAGTTGCAAATGGAATAGATCAGAATATCAGATCGGATTTGGTAAAGGGTATAATCATCCGATTTGATTAGAAATTTGATCTGATCCGCGAGTTTTTTTCAACGTGATGTTAGTCTAAGTTACAACAGTCATTGAAAAACGATAAAAAATAAAGTCAATAAAAACTGACTGCCCCAGATTTTTTTCTTTCCCTCTTTTCATAGCTGTGCCAGTTGGCAACTTCATAAAATGTATTATTCACTTTTGATTTGTAAAAATGATATTTCTATAGACGTTTTGAGTATTGATGAGAGAGAGGGAGAGACTCAACAATACGGATGTAAACTTGTTCTCGGCTGCCAAACAGGATTGGATCTAGAGTCGATTACTTGATCCAACTACTTTGCCCACCCTGCGGACGTCTGAAACATCTCCTTGTTCGTTTACCAACAAACGTCCAGTTTGCCGTGGAGGAGCTACCAGTAAGGTAGTAATTCTGCGTCAGATGACTTTAGATGGCGTTGCAGCCAGTGGGGAAGACGGATAGAATTGATGATATAGTGATGGTAGCAGGATGCGAAATAAAACGTGACAACGCCCATTACAAACCATAGAAAATTAGGAATCCCTCCCATCATTTTCCACATCATCTGCCCTTCTTCCATGAGGAAATTCCCAGCAATCATCGCTGCTACTCCGTTGCTGATCGACAGAATCAGTGCTTCAAACAGCCAATCATCATCTTCTAAAGCCAGCGGCTCCTTCGGCGGATAGCCGTCCATACACAACGAAACCAGCCGACGCACAATCAAGACAGCGAGCACCGTGTAGCTCAGGACCCACACCATTATCTTTACGCTTACTAACACTGCCAGAGTCTACAGCACCCGCAACGAACAGTAAGAAGAACTGCCACCAAAACGGTTTGACTCTGATCTTCCATTTCCGAGCAACAATGGAGTAGTACCACATGACTAAGAACCCTGTTGCCACAAACGACCATCCCCTCGAAAAGAAGCACCTTGTAACAACCAACAACCCATGAGTTAATATGGCGATGGGCAAGGCCAAGAAGCACAATGAGACAACTTTGATTGGCCACTCTGTTTCTGCTTCTTTGCCCGCCTCTTTCTTGTTGTACAACAGACATGAACTGATAGGCCAAAGGATAGAGGGAGAGGAAAGATAATTGGCATGAAATCGGAAGAGAATAGGAAGAAGAGAACATTTGTAAGCCAAAGGACAACAGTTGAATGGAGGTATTGAATCTAGTCACGTTGCAGGCATCGACAATGCGCAAAATGGCTAGAAATAAGATTTCCCACCAGAAAAGCTTGACAGGAGGGGTCTTCCATTTAGCATGAACTCTTGAAAAATAGAGAAGTGATAACCCGGTCACCATAGAAGACCATGCTCTGGACAAGAAACTCTCTGTGAAGGCAAGCCATCCATGAGTGAAAACAATGATGGGTATGGCGAAGGAACAGAAGGAGATGATCCTGATTGGAAACTCTGGCTCTGCCCCTTCTATTTCCATGCCGAGCAGAAAGTCTTATGTGTTGATGGGCCAAAGAAAGAGAGAAAAAAATGAAGATATTGAGTTTGTGAATTGTGAAACTTGGAGGTGGAGGTGGGAGGAGAGAAGAGAAAGAAGTAACAAAATTAATTTAAATGCTATTTGCTTATGAATTAATGAACTGTGCGYATGCAGTCAACTGCAACAAAAATGGTGGGTAGGGGAAGATTGGAAAGCAAACATTAGAGACAAATTCTGCATTATACAAGCATTCATTGACTTTTGACTTTTTTAAAATATATGTTTTATATATTGAATGGTGAGAAACCATTAGTTTCTGGCATTATTCTTGAGGTTTAAGAAAATGCCACCATTGTAAAATTCAATGAAGTGTAGATGAAGAATAGAATTCCTTTTCTTTTCTTTTCTTTTTTGTCTTTGCAAGTAGAATTAGCTAGTTTAGTATGTGAACTGTGTAGCAAGGAGATCCACAGCTCCCAGGAATTTTCCTCGTGGCAACTGATCATGTGGTATCCCAAGATGGCTCCACGAGTTTTCTATATATGTGGTTGGCACAGCATTCATTTTTCATTTGAAGGGATATCTGCTTCAGCGTCGAATAGCTTATCTGGAGTGCATCAAAGCAGCTAAATCAGCTTAGCTGAATCTTCTTCTCAGCCCTCACAGATGGGCTCCAAATGTGACCCTAATTAAATTGATAGAACTTGTGTAGGACAGACATCTGATCATCAATTCAGGATATCAATGTCATGGCGACACCACCATATCCCTTGAAGTATAGTTTATTTTTTAGCACTTTCATAATTTCAGGATATGGGAAATTGCACTAACCATCAATCTCTAACTGAAATGTATTTGGATTTTTGTATCTTATGCAATTTATGATCAACTTGATGTTACCAAACCAGTTTGGTGACTTATCTGTAGCGAATTACCGATAGTCAAGCTAGTACTAGCATATTACTGTTCCACAAATGGCAAGAATTGAGTGACAGAAGCAAGCTAGAAACTAATTAGAGGTCCCAATTCTCAGTCTAAGACCCATCCAAAAACCCACAAAATATCAGTTGTTCTAATGGCTTAGACTTGCCCCTTTGTTCACTATATGTTTAACAACCCTGCAAGGAGGTCAAAAAGAACCTATTAACCCTTGTTTTTCCTTTGGGAATGCGGGGTTCAACTTAATTGGATGCTTCCTGGAGACTGTGCTCTGAAGGACTAGTGAACTATGGAAGGCCTCATTCATCATAATCATCATCATCATCATCTAAGCTTTGTCCCAACTTAATGTAAGTGTACTTGGCAGGCCTCGGACCACTCCATGTGACATCGGCTAGATGGAATCCTGGTTGCACATTTTTAACTGCCTCCAACCACTCCAAGGCAAGTTCAGCTATAAAAAGGGGGGTGCTCATTTCAAGGTAAAGGCACTTATTCTCTTTCATTCAGAATCTCATGAGAATTCTCCTTAGTTATTAAGGACYAAGTTCTGAGGCCTCGTCTCAAGCCTGATCCAACCTCTCTCTTGGCACTTGGCTAACTTAACCGTCAGAGTCTCCACCCCTGAGATAACACCCA